ACCCTTATGAGGATTATAAAAATAGGTTTGTGCAGTTGAGGGGGTGGGATGGCGCCTCTCTGGTGACCATAGGGGAGATGGGTGCCCCTCGCTTCCCTTTATCGTGGACTTCGATCCTTAATTCATAAAAGGGATAGATTTAAGCGTCCTTCCCCCATTAAGCCAGAGATGATCTAGGTTTTGATCTGCTTCTATCCCCTGAACACTCGTACTCTTGTTATCTAGGACCGAAAAGATTGTGATGGGGTAAAGAATTATTTGGGTAAGTTTTATGGTATGAAAAGAACCTTTTGAACTGATCTTGTGTCTACTGTCTTATATACATTAACAGCATTCCCCATTTTTTTTGCAGATGATATGACTAAGATTTCTCTTGGCAATAGGATAGAGTGTTTAATTTAAATGCAAGCGATGTAGTAGTACGTAGGCTTGTCCCGCCTTTTTCTAGGGATTTGTCTACTGATGGCGGAAAGTGACAGTGCAAGACATCCAGTGCTTATGAAGCTCTACCTCCCAAGAATCTAAGACGAGAGGACGGTCCTTCACGATGTTTCCAAGTAACAAATAAGGGGCAAAAAGGAGGTGGTGAATCTGCTCCTCCTAGACCTTCATTATGAAGTACTTCCAATTTTAAAGCAGTGGAGTTCTCTGAATGCTACCTCCTTATTTTAAAGAGTTTTCCTGGTGATTACCAGTCACTCCTTGGAAAACCTTTCGCTTACTTAGAGAACCTTCTAGAGGTCCAACTGTCATGGGGTCTTCTAGTAGGGATATCTGAGAGTTGCAATCCAGTATGAACTATATTATCATAAGCATTCAAGGAAGTCAGAAGGAGGTACAGGCACTGAGATAGGAGCAAAATGCTTTGATGGTGTGTGTTAGGGAAGTGGCTAATAGGAATATTTCCTAATTTGAGAAAGGGAATCATCATGAGAAATCGTTTGAGGAAGGTCTTGGCTCCATAAAAATTATGGAGGGGGAGGCTTTTTCGCTCAAGGATGAGGTTGTGGCCACTTATGCCCAGTATTTTGAAAATGAAAGGAGGTGTGCGTACTTCTTTTACACGAACTTAGAGTTGAGTCTGACGGACCTATCACATCACTTATCATGGGGAAACCAAGATCCTTTTTGGGGATTCAGTTATTTATCGCCTTTAATGGCGGCGAGGATCCTTCATGAAGATCCAACCTTTTAATTGCCTCTATAGAGGTTAAGGGATCTTCGTGAGGATCCAACGTTTGATTGCCCCTATGGGCGGAAAGGATCCTTCATAAGGATCTAACGCTTGATTGCCTTTATGGGCGGAAAGGTTACTTTATGAGAATCCACCGTTTGATTGTCTCTATGGGCGATAATGATCCTTCATGAGGATCCAACGTTTGATTTCCTCTATGGGAGGAAAGGTTCCCTCATGAGAATCCAACATTTGATTGCCTCTATGGGCAGCAAAGATCCTTTGTTAGGGTCCAGTGTTTGATTGCCTCTATGGGCGACAAGGATCCTTTGTGAGGATATAACATTTGAATGTTGTTATGTGTGGAAAAGAGCTTTTGCAAGGATCCATCATTTGATTGCCTATATGGGCGGCAAGGATTTAGCATTTGAATTGCCTCCATGGAAAATATTTTTCAGAACCATTAGATTTCCTTCAAAGGAATGGATAGCAATGCAAATTCTTAAGAATAATATATTAAGGCACCTAATTAAAAACCTTCACCTCGTACAAGGTAGGAAGAGAAAAGAGTGCATACCTCAACAAACACATGTTGTTACAAGTCACAGAGACATAACGCTCTCCTAATAAAAAATAACAACAAAGTAAATAAATAGCGGTAAAGAAATATGAATATTTATAAGATAAATGGCGCTACAGGGAATTCCCTGTGGGCTTTCAATATTCAATCTCCTCACCAGTCTGAGAGGGAGCTTCATCACACCTGAGAGGGAGCTTTCAAAATACTTAACAAGTAAAACCATTTAATTAAGTATAAACTCAACACTTTGGTCTCAAACTATAACATAATATAACTTAATAAAGAAACTAAAACATGTTCAAATACATTTAATTGTATTGATGCTTTACAGAATTACTAAAAATAATAAATCAAGTCAGGTTTGTTTTAGATTCCAAGGTCGATATAACAAAACAAAAAACATAAATATATTATTTTACCTCATCATTAAAATCAAGTTTTCCAGAAAATTGTCGTCGCTTATCTTTAAACCTATATACTGCTTTGCTCCAGTATTTCTAATAGAAACTATATATAACACACACTAACACACACACGCACGCACGCACGCAACGCACAAGCACACGCACACGCACACACACACACACACACACACGCACGCACGCGCGCACACGCACGCGCGCACACACACTCACACAGATATATATATATATATATATATATATATATATATATATATATATATATATATATATATATATATATATATATATATATATATATATATATATATATATATATATATATATATATATATATATATATATATATATATATATATATATATATATATATATATATATATATATATATATATATATATATATATATATAATTGAGTTAGAATCAATTTATTTTAAGAATAATTTTTTTAATTTATTCTAAATTATAGTCTTTAAATTAAATTAAATCTAATAATTAATTAAGTATCCAAATTCACACTCATTCCCACTATTTTTTTTAAGGTATTTGTACATACACAATCTTATACCCATCTACCAGATTCTTATCTTATTTATAATGAGTATTTTTCTTTTCCAAATATTTATTAGGTCATGATGGATTGTCATCCCTAGTTGCATACAACTTTTTTTATTGAGAATTTTTTATCTCATCCCTTGACTTTTTTAGGCACAATGCGCTCTGCTAAAATATCCTCTATTCTGGAGATGTATCTCCAAACGCGCCTTTTTTCAGTTTTTTAAAATTAATTTCTTAAATACATCTATGAAATATTTCTGTATGCGTATTTACAGGAAAAAAAACTAGATACGGAATATCAGAAAATCAACATTGCAACGATAAAATCAACATTAATAAAATAAAATCGGCGTTACATTGATGATTTCGACAGAAATTTAAATACTACATTTCAATAGTCCGGTGGACGCTTGCACATCTCTAAGATGTCATCGCCTTGTTGGTGTGGTACCGAATGTTATACACTTGCCTTATATTTGATATATTGTCGGATTTCTTCTGTTTCAATGTGGCAAGTATATTTTTCGGTTGAACAAGATTTAAGGTCATGTCACTAATACATGTTTTCTCTTTGCCTTGAGCCGACATACAATAGGATGACTTGTAACTTTAAGCACAATTCATGGTTATGCAAACCACAAATAATACTAAATTTTCACTTTTTGGTACTCACATGTAACCAGGAATCTTAAAAGTACATTCACATTTTCTACTGCCGATGTCATATCTTTTAAACTTCCGTAGAGGAGTCTGATATTTCCCGCTTCTTTCGCACAACAAAGTTACAAAAATGTTTCTTCTTTCTGAACCATTATCTGAACTTCCTACAATCACACCAAAATCAAGTCTAGTTGCAGTCCTACGAATCCATGTGAGCATGCTATCACGATCATCAAACTCTTGTTTGTTCTTAAAATTAATGCTGACATCTACCGACTTTACGATGATCCCTTGAACATTCGGAGAAACATCGTTTGTAGAAACTAATTATTTTGAGATATTATTGGGGTGCGCCTTATCTATTGTAAACAATAAGAAAAATAAACAAAAATTACAAATCTACCGTAAACAAACAGGCCACATACACATTCCGGAGGTACAGCTCCGGAAGCAACGTTACTTTTTTTTTCCAAAAGTTTGATGATTAATGTGAGCAATGTAGTGGACAAAGTGCAATTTTTACTTGAAATTCGATCTTCTCTTACTCCCTTTAATTTGTTGCACGAAAAAGTTGGAGTTTTGGAGTCAAAAAATGATATTGAGAATGTAGGATTTTTTAAGTTGGTGAAGGCGAGTGTGAAAGAAAAAAACACAACAATGGGGGAGTGATCATGCAGGTATTAAATATAGCAGAAATTTCCGAAGCTGTATCTGCAGAACAATCTGGCGCTTAGATGTTCTGGAGGTGTATCTACGCAAGTTTTCATGATCTGAATTATTTTGAAGTTTTTTCCAGCGATTATCAGTAGATGTAACTCTGGAAAAAAAAATCAAAATTTAATTTTAAAAAAATGCATCCAAATATGTATCTCCAAAAGTAAAAGACATAAAAGAAAATGCGATATATGCCTAAAAATATCAAAGTCTGGATTAATAAATTCTCTTTTTATTAATACAATTTAACCTATAATAACCTTTATCGACTTTAAAATTCTATTTATTAGTGTCTTAAAATAACTTATTTATTTATAAAAAATTGTTTCAAACTATATGTAACCGACTATATTTGTGAGATAAAGCTTGTTAGTTGTTTTAAAATCTCAGTTTAGTTTTCAATACAATTTTTTTTCCTTCCTCTGATTGACATAATTAATATTAATACTTCTTTAATCACTAGCAATTTAATATCTTATATTTTACATTTATATTAAAAATAAATACACCAATATATAATAAAAGTATTTCGTTAAAAATGTTATTCTCTCTTTCAAAAACTAATTCTAAAACTCAATCATAACTGGATTCCTAAATTAAGTTCCCAAAAAAAGCATATTAGATAAGAAAAAAAAGGCTCTGCAAAATGCGAGCTGCATGAATACCACCTTCAGTACAAACTCTTGCATGCATGTAAATTTCAAGAACTAATATGAAAACACATTATGAAATAGTTTAGTGATCCTTGTCAACTGATTCAAAAACCAAGAATATCTTTGAATTTGACAAATTCCGAAACTAAACAAATGCTTTCCTACTCATCATTAAGAGAAGAACAACAAAGGTTATCAGTGGTTCAAATGTCAAACGAAGCAACCCGATGGAGAGATCTCATGTCATAATCTTGGCAGACCTAGCAAAGAGACTGTCCACAACTTTCCCAACATTAGAAATGGTTTCTAAAGTTGCAGGGTATATAGCATCAGTTTTAGGGTCATCAAAGATAACAAGGCATCCAGCACCCTGATCCAATGTCCCAGCAAACTTCTTGTCCAAAATCATCTGAGACATCTTCCGTTCCACGTGATCAATGGGAAGCTCAATAAGTTCAGCAATATGTGCAATCTCAACCCTTGAGAATGGTTCAATCAATCTGCAGAGATTCTGCTCCAGAAGGGTGTCATACAAGGATGACAGGTGCCTATGAACAATTGGATCTTCCTCCAACTGTGCTTTGAAGTCTCGCAAAGCAGTTTCAAATAATTTCAGGGATCTTTTGGAATGAGCGTCTGCAACAGCTTTCATCGCATCCAAGTCAGGTCCAACATATTGCAGGCCTGCTTTAGAAGATATGATTCCAGCCACATCATCAGCTTGACTAACCATGATCTTACACAGCAACATGTATTTTAGGCTAAAGACAGCTTTAGGATCTTCAAGAGCATTGAAAGACTCAAAAGCTTCAAAGAAATAACTATATGCAGTTTTGTAATCCTTCTCTTCAGCATGAAGAATTCCACTCTGCAAATCTATGGCACCTTGTTGAGCAGGTGGAACATAAATAGCATTTGCAGCTGTTCTTGCGGCTGTGAGAGCAGCTTTTGCTTTGGGGAGATTTCTTAAGGAGAAGTGAAGCTTGCTTTCAAGCAAGTCTATGTCTACAAGAAGGAGCTTGTCATCTAGTCTCCTAACCTCTTTGACCAAGCCATTAAGGAGAGTCAAAGCTTGTGAGTATTCCTTAGTTTCCATCAGAAGAGTAGCAAGCCTTGCCTCGACTCGCTGCCTCAGAAAGGTACGCTTTTCATCGCGAGTCCATTGCACCATTTCTTTGCAGAGTAAAATTTGTAATTCAGATGTTCCTGGTATTTTAGCAACAGAATCAATTATTCCTCTCACAATCTTTGCAGTCTTTGCCTTGGGAATCAAGGAAAAGAATGGCCTCAACTGAGTGAGAAGGCTGCGCAGATCTTCCGCCCTATTCTCTTGCCTGAGAAGATCGGTGAGGTTTGTTATGGCCTGCTCTTTCATGCGCAGAGCTTCTGGGGAAGAAGAAGGATCCCCAAGTACACGATAAAGAATGGAGATGCCCTCAGATGGGTCTTTAGCTTCCAATGCCAGAGCAATCGAGTCTGTTGTGGCAGGAAGAAAAGAAGACATAGCTGCAACTAGGACAAAGTGCTGCCAAAAAAAAGATTTTGTCAATAGAGAGAAAGCTGAAAGCCAACAAATTATTGTGCATTACTATCAATAATTGAGTAAAAATATTATCTCACTACTTGAACTGTTCCACCAGTCTCCCAATATATATCAAATATTTTACCCTATTTAAATAGTTATATGTTGAATTTCAAAATCTATGAGATATAATGTAAGGGGAGGTGATACAGGTCAAATGCCATTAGATGATCATAGAAAACATGGATAGAAATATATGAAGTTGCTCCACTTTTCAAAGCTAGTTAACACAGACATGTATTGAAAATTTGACATCTTAACACAGACATCATGAGTAAGATTTTGTCATGTTAAAACAACCACCTTATTCCAATGGTAGCCCTACTAAACATGTTTTCAAATGTCAATGGCATAGGGAAGCCAATTGTGGCCTATCAAAAAGCAGACGATGCCGGCACAGCAAGACATGTATTAGTGTCAAAAAGCAGACAACAACTGCAGATATAAGTGTAGAAAGAGTGGAACAGTGCAAGACACCGCCACCCCTGCCCACCGGATGGTTTAGAAAGTAAGGAGGGTATGTTGAGAAAAGTCAACTTTTTAAACAACGTAAATTTCGCAAGTGCGGCAATTTAAGCAGATAAGTACTAATCGTAATCATTGACAACATTGCCCAAAATATCTGAAAAACCTTGGCCTAGCAGAACATGGACATAATCTACCAACTACCAAATAACATGATTTCACCTCCTCCCTGACTTCTAACTTAAACTAGCAATGTTGGTTTCCTGGTCATCTTAAAATCAAACTACCTCCACCAGACAAATTAAAGCACACAAAGTCACAACAGAAAAAACAGAAAAAGACCCATAAGATCCATCAAAATTGAAAAGTAAACTTTGCAGTTTTACCTTGGTTTAACTATGCAATACACAAAAGTATAAAAAGAACATTGATATAAATTTGAAATAGAAATTGCAAAGGGGTCTTTTCCATCATTCTACACGTATTATACTAATAAGCCATGCGAATAAAGAGACCTAGGACACACAGTCACAACTCAATACATGGTGTACATAATGGCACAAAACGCGGCATAGGGTGACCTAACTTCATGTACACATCATCACAAATGTTATCATACAAATTCTCATCTATATCTGTGAATCACCAATGCCACGAGAAGGAATCACATATTTAGACGAATCATATCCTCTTATATTCACACTAAAGGAGCAGACAGCACAGAAAAACAAATTACCCTTGACTAGAAACGTGACCGGTCAAGATTCACTGACCAAAATAAAATTATCTTCAACAAAAAATTTCAAGAACTAGAATGTTGAATGTTCTACTACTCTAAACGGACAAATAATTTAATATTGTTTATTTATTTGATGCAAATATTTAGAAGGAAAGAAAGTTTTTTATTCCAAGCAAACATGTAAATGTCTAGAAACCTACATATAACACAATATCATGTTATAAACATAGTCGTAATTGTAAGAATGTTAATTGGAAACATTTAAAGATAACACAGAGCAAAACACAAGTATCACTTGGCATTGCGTCAACAAAAAAAGTATCACTTAGCATTGATGTGAGGCAACACAAGTATCACTTAGCATTGATGTGAGGCAATACAAGTATTACTTAGCTCTAAAAGGCAATATGTAACAATTTTAAACCAGAGACATTGTCAATGGCGGATGGCGGTCCATGGCAGAGAGCCAAAATCCTGTCATACCGGACGCTGTGCTGTTATAACGGATTATGGTGGAAAAACCCGTAATATCGGCCAATATTTACCATCGCGGCGAGCCCAAAAACCGCCACGTATATCTGCCATAGCACTGCAATTGCGGATATTTGATAAGACTGACCAGAGAGAACACTAGAGAATGAGAAACCTTAGGACAGCAAGATATTACAGAAGGGACAAAGGAAATCCCTTATCCTATTGTGTGCATCCATACCACTTAACACTGCATTACTTGGTTAGGTTTAGTTTTCTCCTTCCTTTCACAGATATTTGACCACAAACACAAACAATATAAGCATTAACAAGTCCTGCCTACTCTGTAGCATTCCTCTTCATACATCTATCCGAAACAGTAAAACCAAACCTAGAAAAAAAAATCAAAAGCTATACCAGAATGACTAAGGGCAGTAACCCAGCCCACACAATATACAGAATGGGTGATTTGACTACTGGGACAGCTTGCCCTTAGCTGGAATATCAATACACACACCATTTAGTAGGTGATTTAAAATACGAATCCCACCGCATCCCACCACAAGCACTCTAGTAATGTTGAAAAACTACCATCTTAAGAAATCATTATACTTAAACTCAGAAACGAGCGAAACTGAGCCAAAACATAGTTCTAAATAATAAAGTTTTAATTTTTAGGATAAGTACACACGACCCCAACCATTTTGATGTCCAAACATGATTATATCAACATCTCATTCCACAATAGAAAATAACTGAACTGTCACTATAACTTCTCTAACCTCATAATCAATACTTTCAAATTTCCCCATCTTTAGCAAACACCCCACAAAATATCAAGCACCAAACAAATCCCAGAAAACTTCTACTTAATCTAATATCATAGTTACGAGCAAAATCAACTTAAAATTGAAATTAACACTCACAGAAGCCAACTTAAAAACCAAGACACAGCAATTGCTTGCAATATGCACCAAAATTAGGAAACCTAGATTCATGGTGGAAATAAAATAAAATAAAATAGAACAAAAGAAAACCCTAAGGAGCAGAAAATTTGAAAAATTAAGGAGTAACATACTTGGATGAAATGGAAGAAGAACAAGAATCCTTTGTGACGATCGTAGTTGAGCAAGAACCAAAGGGTTTTAGTGTTGAGATGCAGAAGAGAGTGAAAGAGAAGAAGAATATTGGGTTTACTTGTTGCTCAATACAAGAAGAATAGTGGCGAACGAAATTGCACGATTACTTTGGGCTTTTCTATCAATTTGGGCTTAGGCCTTTTTATGATAAGCCCGTATTATGTCTAAGGTTTAATATTTTAACCGCCTTTGTTTTTTATAGCACCCTCTCCACTCTCCTTTTTTTTTTTATCTTCAACTATAGTTTAGTTACAAGTTTTAAGAATTGTGCAGACATTGAATTTTTATTATAATTATCTTTAAATCAGATTTATGAGATAAGGGTTGTTTATGTTAATGATTATGGTAACATGAATCACTGTTAAATTCTTTTAAATTCTTTTGTGAATCAATGGATTTTGGAAAAAAATTAGTTGGAGATATGTATGAAGGTTTAGGGATGAAAGGTGTGGATATCGCATGATGGAAACTGAAATTTTTGGAAAAAAACTCCAGCGACAATCGATTGCTACCAGATGACAATTGATTGCACCAGTTTAAATTTTGAAAAAAAAAGTAAACAGTGGAATCGATTGCACCAATGCTACAATCGATTGTCTATCCTAGAAAAGTGATTTTTTGTGAAGTCAATAGCAAAACGTGTTTGCTGACAATCGATTGTCATATGCCAAATGGTGAAAATTATGGTTTTTGTTTTTGTTGTGTTGTCCAGCGATTTTGGTTGTATCTTTCATTCCGTAAGTCCAAATGAGATGTCGTTCGAAGCGTTGGAAAGCTAACGCGCAAATCTACCTCATGGTAGTGCTTGGTGAAATGTTTAATCCATAGTCATTTACCTTCTATAGGGATGTTTATGATGACTTGTATGATTGATTGGCGAATCGTTATGCTTATACGATGATATGTTGTTGTTTTAGTGAAGTAACATGAACGAATGATTATGAAGTTACATTTGTTGAGTTGTTATTGTTTGTTGTTATTTATTAATGTTGTATCATTGATTAATTTTTATGTAAGATGAATGATGTTGTGCATAAATGGTGAGATGTACAAAGTGATTCTTTTGGTGAACCTTTTGGTGAAAATGCATGTTGTTGAGAGTCATGCATCATGGTGTACGGATTTCGGTCCATTTTTGGTGTGATTTAGTCCTACGGTGGGGATCAGGAGCGAGTATCCGGTTTCAGGTGAGGATCGATGAAGCGTTGCTTATAATGATAGTAACAATTTGGTGTACTCTGGTCCTATGATGGGGATCAGGAGCGAGATGAACCTGAGTGTTCATGAATGGTACCGCATGCATAATGAGTCATTTGTGAAGTATATTGCATATATGTTTGCATACGTAGTTGATTGTTCATGATGATGTTGATTGGTTTAAATATATACATGATGTTATGAATGGTGTGAGAATTTTTTAAATAATTAAGGTTAGGTCTAATTTTTTTATTAATTTTAATTTTTAATGTCATATTTCTTGTTATTCATTCCATGTCCTTAGTGTGTTTTTGCACGTCCATCCCCTTGATTAGTTGAATCAAGATCATTCTTGATCAATTAATTACTTTGGTATTAGACCTTTTATTGTATGATTTCTCATGAATAATTGCATGTTCCCTTAGGTTTTCATCCATTTAAGTGATCATAAGTCCCTTGATCACTTAAATTGAATTAGATCTTTGACTTGACTCCCTATCGAATCCTTTAGATCAATCATTCATACTTTCACTTTTCAAAACCCTAGAGCCAATACATGATAACATGGTATTTCACCCCATTCACATCTGTCGCGGTAAGAATCGAATATCAAGCTATTGGATTTAACTTGAATCACAGATCATGATGTTCACCACCGAGCTTTGATTTATTCAAAGGAAATGGTAAAAATCGAAGAAAACCCTAAGTGTGTTATGTAACAACACAGCTAAGAGATATAAGGTTCGGGGGTTGGTTATACCTAGGGAATGTGTTAGCATCCTAAGTATATGTAGTACTCTACAGGAACCTCTTGTTAGTATTTGTGTTATACTAAAGTTGCTTGCTAAGGGAAAAGTGCTAAGGTAAATATCTAAAGTATATACAAAGTTTGTTCGCCAAGACATTGCATC